AAATAGAACAGTAGCTAAAGTTAACTAAATGTAGCTAAAAATAGAACAGTAGCTAAAGTTAACTAAATGTAGCTAAAAATAGAACAGTAGCTAAATTAACTCAATGTAGCCAAAAATAGAACAGTAGCTAAAGTTAGCAAAACCTAAACTATAGATTTAAGCTTATTGTAGCAAACTTGTAGCTAAAAACAAAAAGGACCAAAACCATAGCTAAAAGCTTAAATTGGCTAAATGTGGCTAAAAGGTTAAACTAGAAGAGTTGCTAAAAACTGGCATCAAAAAATGAGCATGTATGCTGAAGGCGGTGTAAATGAGTGTTTTGAAATACTTGAGGTAGTCTTGATGTATTTTATTAGAGAAAGTTTTTAAATAAAGTTGAATTTATTTAATAAAAAAACAAAAGGTCATAACACACTGTTCCCAATCGAGCTGAATGTTTTGAGATGTAAATGGTTAAAATAATACAAAGTATGTGGAAGGAGTTTAATTGCAAAAACATACAGAAGAAAATATAAACAGGACAACAATAAATAAAAATAAAACAAAGTGAAAGCTGAGTCAGCTCACATAATAAGAGTGCTCACATATTGCACATAATTACACATTTACAGTGTGGTAACTCAAAATAAAGTACAAAAGTAAACATCCTTCTAGATGAACTTGTGCTCTGCTGAGACATTTTATTTACAAACATAACTACAACCACTGAAGCATTTTCTTCTTCACTTTATGTTCAGCTGTTATGGAGCAGCCACCTGGGAGCTTAGACGATCTACGGCCTCAGGACGTCTCCACCTCCAGCACACCCACCGTGATCGACTTGTCCAGGAAAGAGGAGGAGCATGTCCTCGTCTCCACGCCTCACGACATCCTGCGAGTGGTCAAGAGCCCTGGCTGGTACCCAGACTCCAGGACCACCGTCGAGACTGGCTCCTCTGATGTCCCACCCGGGGGACAGCTTCAACCAGACAATGCCTTATCCCACACTACAGTCACCGTGTCTTACGTGAGCAGGTCTCACGTCTTCGCCGCTCACAACTCCTTATCTCAGCATTTGCCTCGTTACAGCGTGTCGCCTATCAGCACGTTTTCTTTTCACCCTCATGGTGACACAGATAACCGGCTCGGGGAGACCAGCTACGCACCGAACCAGCATCACTCGGAGCAGACGGAGGAGCCTGTCGACCTTGCCTTGCAGAGTGAACCGTTTCACCCATTTTTGCAGGCTCCTTCAGGACCAGACAGTGGTGTGAGGGGAGGCTTTGCACAAGAGCCTGTTGGGTTGAATGGTGAAGACATTTCTGTTAAAGGATTCGCAGATGAGCCCTTAGGAGATGATGAGGAGCGTAGGATTCAAGAAAACGCCAGGAATGGTTTGGAGAACGGTCAGCGTGACGGCTGGTCAAGTTCCGGAGCACTTAGTGAATCTTCACCAGAGACTCTAACTCCTGCCAGAGAGGAGGACGAGAAGAGGGGGAGCTCCGATGTGCTCTTCGTTATGTCTGAGAAGCAGGACTCAGAAGTGGTTTCGCACGGCGTAGGTCCTAGAAATCTGTGTTCACCAAGCAGGGAGTATAGGAGTCCTTTGGAGGACCCCATCTCCCCATCTGCTACCTCACTGGATGGTGTGGAGGATGTGATCCTGCTCCCTCAGGCCTCCAGCTCACCCAGCGCTGAGATCGCTTATCCAGAGAGAGATGAGGGGGGCTTGGAAAAGCCCACCCACCTGAGCTCTTGTGTCATCCCTGACTCCATGAGTTTAGATTCAAGTAATGTGACTGGAGAACCAACCCATGGATGGAAAGCCCTGTCTGAACCTTTGACAGATGATTTGGAAAACAGTAAGGTTGTTTTTCGTGTTAACGGGAATGCACAGACACTAGAGACGACTTTAAAGGAAAGAAAACTCCCATTCCGTTCTAGTAGAGGGACTCGCCTGGAGGCAATAGTCATGAATATAAATTCAAGCCGGTATAAAGTATCCGGACGCATACACGCCAATAAAAAAAACGTTGCCTCCAAGCCTACAACTCCAGATTTAACTTTAAGCCCTTCAAAGAGGAGTGCCAGTTTGTCTAAAAGAAGAGGCAAAGTGAAAACTCCTTTGTCTGTGAAACAAAAAGTGACAGTGAAAAAAAGTAAATGTAGTAACATTAAGCCTGTCTCTTGCAAAGACTCCACTTCTGTTTCTGAACCAAACAAGTTAAAGAAGTCTCGTAATGTTGCACTTACAAAAGCTCCTCAGTTGGGGAGGTCAAAACAAGAACCGGTACAAGCACCTCAGATTAACACCATAAAGTGTAAAAGGAAAGCCTCTGCTGTCCAGAGGAGATCGAAGAAGGAGCCAGAGCCGCGCCCTCAGCCTCAGCCACCAGCGGAAATAAAAGTGCCAAGGTTTTCATCCCCTGCGCCACAATCCAAATCTCCAAAGAACGACCAAGGCAAAACCAAAAGTGAATCTCCGCGTAGCAAAGTGTCTCCCACTGTCAAGACGAAGCCAGCTCGTACTCCTAAACGGAGGCGGAAGAAACCCAGGCGGAGCCTGACGTCTTCTATCTTCTCTCCAAAGGAGCCTGAGATAAAGCTCAGATACGTCAACTACAAAGAGGAGAGGAGGGACCCGAGGTTAGACGCTTTCTCTCCTTTCGTTCACGTTGAGCGTCGGGAGTCGTCGCCTTCACTGTGCACTCTGATCAACTACCCCGAGGAAGTGAAGGCGCAAGCGAAGAAGGGCCAGCTGCAGCAGGCTTTTGTTTCTCCAGCTGTTCCCAGCACTTCCTGCCTGCGGCTGGGACGGCTGTCCAAGCACAGCCAGCACCAACGCGCCTTCATCTGCTGCCTGTGTGGCCGCTCGGCCAACGCCATGGACTTGGGGGACCTGCATGGACCGTATTACCCTGAAGGGTACATGCCGAGCACCAAAGCACCAGCCAGTGGCTCGGGCCTCAAGGAGGACGAGGACGATTACAGCGATTCAGACTCTTCGTCCTGCAGTGTGAGGGCCAGGTCGTGGGGCCTCATGCGGGCAGCTCGGCTGAAGCAGGAGGGCCTCCTGGGGAGCCGCAGGTGGGCTGGGGATGGCAGGAGCAGCCCAGCAGTTAAGCGGCCACGCTCTGACATGGGCCCAGCAGATGTGCAGGACTGGTACAGCCCACCTGYGCTGCCTCAGGAGCCCTGTGAGTACTGGCTCCACGAGGACTGCGGCATCTGGTCTGCAGGTGTGTTCCTTGTGAAGGGCAAAGTCTACGGGCTGGAGGAGGCTGTCAAGGTGGCCCAGGAGACGGTAAAACTGGTCTTAAATTCCACATGTAGATCTGTTTGATGTAGACCTGTTCAGCTGGAAATAAGCAGAACGTTGTAGATGGTGCCACTAAAGCCTTATAAAAGTCTTAAAGGGATATTTCAGCCATTTTAAAGTGGCATTTTGGAGAAAAAGTACTAGAAGAGAGAGAGTTTCTGCATTCCACTGCACTGTTTTTACCTGTTGGGACACGGCATCAGTTTTTAGTGATAAACTTATTCACCCTTTTTATAAATCACTCATTTACAACAACGTGTAAAATTGTATGATTGCTGGGAACTCTTTTCATAAACATCAATACTCAGTGGAGAAATGCAGCTTTGTCTGTATGATAATGTATTACAAAACTCAAACTTCATTAATGGATAAAAAGACTGTAGTAAAATTAAAAATATAAAAGGCAAAAATTATAAAGGCTTAGAAAATAGTTTTAAAGAAAAGGTTTTAAGTTTGGGGCAAAATCCTCTTCAGAAGTGAGTCCAGCCTGGCTGTATAATGGTTGTCATTTTAATGGTAGTGGTCTTCTTTGGTCTTGGTTGTGTTCAGACTAGCCATTAGCTTGTCATTTTTGTCAGGTGTAAACTCTGTTTCTCAAAATTTTTTAAATTTTTTTGTTTTTGTCAGTCCGAACAGATTTATACGTCTGGTAAAACGCCACTTCAGAATGACCAGAATATTCCTTTAAATTTCTGAGTGTTGTGGAAACGTCTTCGAAGGCAGATTTCTGTTTCTCTGTGAAGTTTTCAGTTTGATGGCTCTGGAAGTAAATTTACAGGAAGTTACAGACTTTGCTTTGTGGATTTATTTTGTAAATTATTGAAGTTTTTTAAAACATCTTAAAGGCACAGTGTGTAGGATTTTGTCAAGTCCTGTAGCCGAAATTGAGATAATCACTGATGACAATAATAAAAACATGTCTAATCATTGCAGTAAGACCTTGTTTTATTATTTTTACCTTTATAAAAAGCTGTTTATATCTCCATGGTCGCGGGTCGCCACTACAGGCAGCCGCCATCTTGCACCGCCATCTTGTCTACAGAGGCTCATGAAGGACAAAGTGCGGTGGCGGCGTCAAAAAGGGTTTTAGTTGTAATACTATAAATGTAATATTTGTTGTCTGTCATTGTAGCTGGGATAATTTTACTTATTAAAGCTCATAATCTTACCACTTGAAACATCACTAGCCCTGAAGCTGCTGGTAGACATCATGGTTGGAATTATCAAAGGTTTTTGACACCTGAGAGACACCGTAGCAACTCCTTTGTGTTTGGAAGCAGGGGGTGGGGGTGGGGGGAGGACCAGGGAGGATGATTCAACCACTCAACCACTAGATGTCGCTGAAAACAACAAATCCTACACACTGTGCCTTTAAAACTGTAGACGCTCCATTTCTTATACTTCCTTTAAAAGTCGTGATGTTGTGTAAACACGCAACATACTGAATGGAGTAACTTGTTATTTTTGGAAGTGAAGAAGAGTCTGACCTGTTTTTCAGGTGTGTTCGGCGTGTCATACAGCAGGGGCGACACTTGGCTGCTTCTTCAAAGGCTGTGCTAACAAATACCACTACAGGTGTGCTCTGGAGTCAGGTGAGTGCTGGTTGAAGTGTAACTACCTATTGAAGACRTCTGTATATTTTTGATCCATTCAGCTTTTCCCCTGCACTGACCAGCCTCCCAGTCTGCTGCGACAAAAACGCCTCACAACATGACACTACCACCACCGTGCTTCACTGTGGGGGTAGTGGTGTGCAGGTGATGAGTGGTGCCAGTCAGTCACTCTGGGTTTCATCAAACCAGACGTAACAAAATTGCAAGAATAGAAAACTGTCTAAATAAGCCCTCTTTTAGACGGTCTGTTTGTGTTTTTGTGTATGTTTTGTGAACTTTGGTTGGCAGTCATCACTTCCTCCTCGCCTGAACTCACACGTTATTTTGTGTGTGTGTGTTAGAAGCTTGCAGATGAATCACAGCATCTTTAACTGTTCTCTTCTCGCTCCAGCAGACTGTGTCCTCGTCGAAGAGAATTTCTCCATGAAATGTAAGAAGCACAAGGTGAGCAGCCGTCCGCGCACAGGAAGATGAACAAAAAGAAAATGAAACATTTGATGAAATGTCACCCAAGGGTCTCAACTGTTTTTAAAATAAAAAAAAAAACTTTGTGCTGATAATTTTGCTTTCTGCTTTATCCTCAGAATAAGACATTCAAAGCACCACCAGGGAGCCGGCGGGGCGTCAGCTGATGTTCTACAGCAGCCTTCTGAGGTCCGTATGTTCCATAAACCTGTCTGATACACCACCACTTCAGATTCTGACTGAAGCAAATTAATTTGCTTTACAACTTTATTAGTAAAGCACATTTTGCACCACAGCAGACCAAAGAGCTGTACAGAATCAGTGTTCCAACACAGCTCAAAAGACCACAGAAAACAATAAAAACAAGGACAAAAAACGAAGTAAAAACAGGAAATTAACAATGAGATGCCTAAAACACAAGTTAAATTCTACAATGATCTACGCCAACATGAGGAAGTTTCCTTGTAGTTTATTTTCTGTTGCTGCTGCCCAGAATCAACTGCAGGAAACCACAATAACTGAAGTTACTGCTGTGGAAAAATCAGGAAACGTGTGTTTTATAAAAAATACAAATAAAGTAGGAAAAAATGACAAGTATTACCTTTTTTTAGTCATTATTTTGATGTTTTGCTTCTTTCTGTTTTTTTTTTTTCAAATAAAAACAGAAAAGTACTAAATACCAAATACTCCAGATAAAATGAGTAAAAAATGAAAAAGGTCCTCTGTAAAAATCCACTTCTTTGCAGAGCGATGATGAACAGAATGCCAGTCGTTGATCACCAGATGTTACCGCAGCCGAGATCCTAAAGCAGAAAATTCTCTGTTTCCAGGAATATTGTATTTTATTATGACTGTTCTGTATTCTACATTTCTGTTTCTCCGACACTACCCTTATCATTATTAGGGGTGTAAGAAAATATCGATACACTGAAATATCGCGATATTTCA